TGTGTTTCGCATATACCCATTCCGCTGCCTCATCCCCAATTCCCAATCGCCATCCAAATCTCATTCCCATCCACAATTCGATTCCGGTTTGGCGCAATATTGCGCACAAGTGAAATTATCGATACAAAACCATTTGTTTTTGTTGCTCATATCCTGTTCGAGTAGTACCCTAGGGTATATTCTGTTTGCAACAGGCAGAGGAAACCAGATCATTATCCAACAATTTATTGCCTAATCCGATACATTTTACAGGCAGAAAAGGAACATTTTTAAAATTCCTTGAATGGTGGGCAATAAATCTACCATTTATTTACCGTATTGTAGGGTATCTTGTTGTTGTTTCACGACAATGTCATTTCTATTTATTTACTTTGGGTAATTGTGGGGGCATTTGTGCGGCATACTCGTACTACTCGTACAACCATCCATCCATTAAGGAGTACACAAATAATAGTTTTCTGATGAATAGAATTTGAATATTTAATATATTTATTTAAATTTATTTATGTGCTTTTGTGTGTGGGAAATGGCAGGTAATGATGGATTATTCCCAGGGAATAACCAACTAAATTAAAGTTTAAATAGTACAGGGCTAGCATAACTAAATATTTCTATATGTCTACGAAATGTTTATTATTTAATCTAAACCCACAGCAATGTCTTTTTCAATACGAGCAGACCTTTCAATATTTATTTATTTCATTCATTTTTTCCCATGTCATTCGATCCGCCAGCCTCCAACCACAGCCCCAACCCCAATCTCAAAGCCGTAATCTCTCGGACACCAAAAAACTGTGGAATATGCAATTTCATTCGCTTACTTTCCACTGATTAATGTCTGTTAAAAATATTCAAACTTTTTTATAAAGAAAAAAAGTGAGGCTCAAAAAGTGAATTCTCCTTTAAAGGGGGCGACCCACACACAAAAATTCACTTTTTTTTGTTGCTTACCAAACCGCCCACAAATCAGACAAGAAATGTCGGTCCGAATCGCGTCGCCGAGGCTCATCAAAAATAGGCCAATAACCAAAATGCCATAAACAATTACAAACTCAAGTTGTTGTTGTTGTTGGTGTTGCTGTAATTGTTATTAAGCAGACAGCGGAGCAGCTTCTACCGCTTTCGGAAATGAATGCTACGAAAACTGTAAACAAATTTCGAACGTCAACAATAAAACAAAACTCCTCCGATGACGTCGCCTTATCCACCTTTGAAACACACAACCCAGGCAAAACCAAAAAATAAGAGTGTTAAGCCAAATGCATAAGTTTTAATCGAAGATAATATGCTCTTTCCGTTGGATTATCTATTTGTTGGAGATTGAAAATCTCTTGTGTGGATAATCCACACTTGTCTTACGACAGATGTACGGCTTTCTGCCAAATCTTTTATGTGTACATATACTATCGCTTTGAAGGGAACAAACCAAATACATAGCAGACCTATATTTATCTGTGTGACAAGCATTCCAGACAGAATGTTAGCACCCTCTGGCAAAGGGTATATTGTAAACTAAGCCCACTTGCAGGTGGCACTCGCATATCAGCTTTATAAGGCAACAAACTAATCATACCTACAACAAACAACCAACAAAAGACCGACGATGGCTCGTACCTACATTGACCTACTCTTGCTGCCACGGCAAATACTATGCTGCGCTGTCTGTCCGTTTGTCCGGAACTGTGATGTAACTGTCCCAAAATGCCGCGCACATATCAACGAGCGGCAGTTCAAGTCCAAATTTGTGGCGGGACTAGGGACACCGTCGCCAGCGCTGCCGCTGCTGCTGGCGCTGGAAGTGATTCAAAATTCAACGAAAAGAAATAGCAAAAAAACAGCAACAAAAACATGCACATGACTTTACCGTTAATTTTCTTTGACATGTCTAAGCGTGTCTCAGTGTGTGTGTTGGTTTGCCAATTTCGCTTTGTTTTCTCGTAATATATTTAATTTTTTTGTTGTTTTTTATATGTATTTTTTATATTTATTTTTCTGTGTGCTTTGTTGGCTGTTTGGTGGGATTTCTGTTGTTGTTGGTGTTTTTATTAGACCGCATTTTTAGAGGTCAGCGCACATTTGGCGCAGCATTGCAATGTTTTGTAGGTTTTTTCCTTCTGTTTTTCTGTGCGTTTTTTCTGTTTGTTTATGCACCATTAAAGTTGAACGTTCGTCTGTGGGCCCTGTGATTGCCCCTGGGTCCCACTGTAATAGTGCAGTGAAAGCTTTTGGTAGGAATCTAGAAAAAGGAGAATGGGCTGGGGACTCCTCTCTAATGTACCCTGAATTTCATAGTTTTCTACAGCAAAAGCCTGAGGAAGGAATTTTTAGAGTACATAGGTGTGTGCTTATTGTACATGCAATTGCATGGTTTTCCCAGAAAATCTGTTCTAATCCCACACTAAAATCGCACACCGCTGCGTATGTGTAAAATGAGTACTGTGGCATTACTCATACGCCTAGTATGCCAACAGGAAGTAACCGCACACGTTTCGTACGTGAATGCCTGCCACAGACCAATTGAAATGGAACACAATCATTCTATGTGTATATTCTATAATAAGTGAATTTCCTTTAAATTCGCGGAAAATAATGGCCTGAAACAGAAATTGCACGTGCATTTATTTAGTGAGGTATTTCTTAAGCATTTCCCTGTTCAAATGTAATCATTGAGAGAATCGTTGTCTCTATCTTACGCACTTCCCCTGTGCGGACACCTGCACTCAATTGCGCATACGCAACGTATGCCGTAGACAAAAACACGTGAGACCTGGCACCACCCGTAGCGCATTCAACGACAAACTAAAATAAAACCACCTCGAAACACTAAATATTTATAAAGAATACCATGATACCCTCTACATAGAGAAATAAGAATACAATTATCAAATGGAATTAACAACAGACAGCAGCCATCTAAGCTAATCCCACAGAGATTTTGCATAGTGATTGATTTCCTTTCTTTCTTAACAATATACCTCAGGTACACCGCGATTACAGGGTGTAGGCATACGAAAAATATGGCGGCAAGTGACGGGCATTTCCGACAGCCTCTCGACTTCGACAAGCGATTAAAACTTGAGTAAATAGAGAGCAGGAAAACATAAAGGAAATTCTCAACTCGACGAAACAAACAAAATGTAAAAACTCGTCAAAAATTATACATATATTTATAATTTCCGTTAAAAAAACGTCCAGAGAACTGTAGCTTTTTGGGGCTGCAACAGTGGGGGTGGAACTGTGTGTGTGTGTGTGTGTGTGTGGGGGGCTGTGGATTGCAGGCTGGTGCACAGCTGTTTGGTTGCCGCGCGATTTCCGTGGGGTCCACCTTCTATTACCCCCCGCTCCTTTTCTTTACTTTTTGTGGGTAAATACGCTTTTGTGCCATATTTTATTTTACTTTTTAATATTTCTCTGCTGCGGCTTTTGAGTTTTTGTTGTTTTGTTCATGTTTTTACATGCTTCTCATTCACCCACAACGGAATGAACGGAATAAGCGGAGCGGTGCGCTGCGGTGGGGTATGGTGCGGGCGGGCAGGCAGGCAATCAAAACGAGACGATGTCGGTCGTCTGTATTTAAAAAGCTGTAAAAAGCACACATACACACACAGTAAGAGAGAGAGAGAGAGAGAGAGGGACGTACATGCAATAATGCAGCAAGCAAAGCATAAATTGTAAACTCGTCGTCGCTTCCCTCCCCGCTTCGCTCCTCCTTCTCCCTCTCACTCCTCTCCTCCACCACCACTAACAGCAACAGCAGAGCCGACAAGCCTTGACCTGATTTCTCTTCCTCTCTTGCTGCCAATTGTATGCCTGTGTGTGTTTGTGTGTGTGTGTGCGAGTGAGTGTGTGTGCTTGCAAGCTTCATTGCGCTGCCAGCTTTGACGCTCGCTCGCTGCGGCCCGCCTGCACTTTGCATTTGCCAAAGCGAGACAGCAGTGATGGAATGGGCCGCTGTCGCAGTCGCAGTCTCAGTGTGTGAACAGCTTGACATTCAATGCAATTTTTTCGCTTTTTTGTTGCTGCTGCTGCTTCTGCTGCTGCTGCATGAAATAAGTGAAAATGCACTTTTACTTTTCAGCAACAACAATTACAATAAGAGAGAGAGAGAGGGAGAGTGCCAGTGCCAGTGCCAGAGCGAGTGCAAGTGAGATAGAAAGAGAGATTGCATTGCAAAGGAAAGTGAGAAGCCAATTTTTGCTTGCTTTTCTTTTGCGTTTGCCTTTGCCTCCACTTCTCCTACTTCTTCCTCTTAATTTTCTGCAGCTTTTAACGGTTGTTGCTGTGAGTTCATGGCTCCAAAATTGGGGCATTTCAATTGTTGTTTGCCGTTTGTCATTTGTCGCTTTGTTGTTGCTATTTCAGTCCATTTTATTTTATTCCACACTCTACCCCTCTAGCCAGCAATATTTCTTCCAACATGACATTTCTATGAAATTATGATGCGAATTTTTCGTACTATTATTAGCCCCTTGGACAGACATTTTGACAGCAGTGAAGAGAGGTTGGCGATGGGGTGATGTGTGGGAGCGGATGGGGGAGTGAAGTGCAAAGATTTATGCGAGCGCGGATGAGGTTAAGCATTCCATTAATTGAATGTTGAACGGTGAATGGTTTACTCCAGGGTTGCGTGGAGTGATTAAGAAATCTAATTGGGAGATTTCAAGAGGCCCTTTGAAAATTAAGCTGAAGAGATATGGTCCCCAAGTTTTGTCTACAGTTCTGATACTAGAGGGTAGTTCTGGAACAATCTGAAAGAATTTTATATGAAGAAATTCATATAGATTCGTCGATAAAGATTCCAAAGCTATCCGAGGGCTGGAAGAAACTACTTAGCGTGTTTTACAGCAACATTTGTCATCATTACAATGTACTATATAAATTTATAAATGGTTTCATTCATTCAAGAGTCTTATCTTATATTTAAATATGTATGTACATGCTAGAAATTTGAACCAAGCAAAACCTCTTTCAACAACGTACTTTTTCCTCTCCTTTTTCAGATACCGAAATTCCTATTGTCAAACAATCGACGAGTCCGGCACCACAACAACAACAGCAGCAGCAGCAGCAGCAACAACACCAGCAGCAGCAACAACAACAGATCCTGCAGCAGCAGCACCAGCAGCAGCTTAACGGAACCTCCTTTGCTGGTGCCACTACACTGCTGCACATTAAGACGGAGCAGAACCCGTTGCTCACGCCGCTCCAGCAGCAACAGCAGCAGCAGCAGCATAGCTTACATGGTGGTGCAACGGCCGGTGGCACTAATGGTGGTGGCAATAACGGGAACAACAATAACAACAACAGTGCACACCAGCAGCAACAACCACTGGCCATACCGCACAGGCCCCTGTTGCACAATCTGCTCAGTGGCGGCGCCATCCACAATCCACATCACAGGAACTACACGACGGCCACAACAGGTGAGTGGAAGAGGCAGCAAGGTGAACCACTGCACACGCCCTCGATTCGATCCGAGCCTCATATATCGATTGCTAATTGCCTTCTTCTACTTCGTCTTTTTCTTCTTTATTGTCTTTGGCTTTGTCTTCGTCCTCGTCCTCGTCTCCACCGAATTATGCAGGTTCATTTCCGCCCAGTCCCGCAGATAGCGGCGTGTCCGATGTGGACAGCTCTAGTTCCGGCGGCCAGCCCTGCGCGGACGAGCTGAAGGCACGCCTGGGCATGCCCGCTGCCACGTCAGCAACGGCAGCGGCCGCAGCAGCAGCAGCTGCAGCGGCAGCAGCACACCTCCACACGGGCACCTTTCTGCATCCGAATTTATACCAGAACAATGCGAATTCACTGAGGAACATATGGAATCGCAGTGTTGGGGGTGAGTATACATACATATACATATGTGCAAGTACATATGTACATATTGTATTTGTAGTACTATATAGGGATTTATGTACTATGGGGCACACAGTGGTCAGGTTGCAAGGGCAAAGGTTCACACAGTTCATGATGGTAGAAGGACAATTGGGTGTTAGGTTTATCATAGAATTGTGATTTATGGAAACTGTGCACGAAATATAACCCAAATTCGGATTAGGGAATGAGCTATCCACTCTCAATAGACACATCTATTAACCGACATTGTTGATTGTTATCTGTTACTTGTTGGTGCGGTTGGTAGTTAGAGATGAGGCTTCGCCTGCTCGATTAAAAATCGATTAGCAGGAGCATCAATCGGAGCTTCTGAAATATTTGATTATTCCGGTAATCTCTGTGAGTCTCTGTGGCATAGATAATTCCTTGCTAATCCACCTTCCCGTAATGGAATGGGTGCCATCGCTTAGCTCTTTTTTTTTTTTACGAAAAATGTCAAGCAGGGGGCGAGAGGAAACAACTTACTCACTTACACACTTATAGACACATATGCACAGAGAGGCATCAATTGCAATGAGAATGTGTTGCACTCGCTGCTTTTATGCTCTCTCTTTGCTACTGCCTGTGTGTGTGTGTGTGCGTGCTTTGCTGTATAAAAATCTGTGGTCATCGACACATTGCCTTTGCGCAAATTGTGAAGGTCACAACGACAACGACAGCCAAAGCAACAGCAACAGCAGAGACAGCGGCAGCGGCAGCAGAGGCACCACCAGCAGCAGGCAGCGCCAATGTGGCAATAATGGGGGGGGCTTCGGCTCTCAGAGAGCCCCCAGCAACACCAACGCAAATGCAACCGACTCCTCTCTCGACGACAGAAACGAACACGAACACGAAGACGAAAGCGTGCGTTGCTCTCTGACGTACGTGCCTGTGTGTTGGGGAGAGCAGCAAAGACAGAGAGAGAGAGAGAGAGAGAGAGAGATAGAGCGTGCTGCTGCTGTTTCTCACTTTTGTTTTTATTCAACACCCAGTCCAACCCCCCTGCGACCGACCCCAACAACTGGTGGGGGAATTGGGCAACGTCAACGTTGGCTGCGAGAGCGAGAGCGACTGCGGCAACAACGCCGGATGTAAAAAAAAACTAAACTTAGTAAAAACCATACAAAATTATACCTGTGCCCCATACATACGCACAGTGGGACAGATCAGCCTGTTCAATTTGGAGAAATTTGAACTGCAAATAACATTTTGTCCCTCTGTTTTACTCCTTGCAGTGCCCGACAATTACTATGGCAGCAGTGGAGGCGGTAGCGGCGGTGGCGTCGGCAATCCAGGGGCGCCCGGCACCCCCCAGACCCCCAGCTACCTGACAACGTCCTACTTCAACGCACCGACGCAGCAGCAGCGCAGCTCTGGCGTCAACGGCTATCATTCCCTGCACCAGCAGCAGCAGCAGCAAACGCAGCAGCATCAATCCCAGCAGCAGCAGCAGCAACAAGCGTACGCGCAGCAGCATGCACACTCGCAGCTGGCGCCTCCCTCGCATCCACATCCGCATCCACATCAAACGCAGCAGCAGCACACGCATTCCACAATCGCCAATGCAGCGGCGGCCTCCGTTGTGAGCAGCAGCAGCAGCGCGGTGGCAGCGGCCGCCATGCTCAGCGCCAGTGCAGCGGCGGCGGCCGCCTCACAGAGCGTCATCCAACCGGCGACGTCGAGCGTCAGCTATGATCTCTCCTACATGCTGGAGCTGGGCGGCTTCCAGCAGCGGAAGGCGAAGAAGCCGCGCAAGCCGAAGCTGGAGATGGGGGTGAAGCGACGCAGCCGGGAGGGCTCCACCACCTACCTGTGGGAGTTCCTTCTGAAGCTGCTGCAGGATCGTGAGTACTGTCCGCGCTTCATCAAGTGGACGAACCGGGAGAAGGGTGTCTTCAAGCTGGTCGACTCGAAGGCGGTGTCACGCCTTTGGGGCATGCACAAGAACAAGCCGGACATGAACTATGAGACGATGGGCCGTGCCCTGCGCTACTACTACCAGCGCGGCATCCTTGCGAAGGTGGATGGCCAGCGGCTGGTCTACCAGTTTGTCGATGTGCCCAAGGATATAGTCGAGATCGACTGCAATGGCGTGTGAGGGAGGAGAGGCGATCGGCAGGATCGGGCGGCTGTAAATAGATGTAATCCGAGATCGGTTCAGATCGGATCAGTTTCAGATCGATGGCAATATGTTCTGGGAAGCGGATTAACCGTAATAACCGGCTAGCGGCAATAGTAGCATGGGATCCGATTGGGATCGGATCGGGGCTACGCGAAGGAGGGATGGATTTCCTTGTATATTGTATGTGTTGAGTTTCTTCATTAGGACTAACGCGGAAGAGTATAAATTACATAGATGATAGTCCCAAAATACCCCAGAATTATATATACCCTGTACCCCTGGTCCACAGACACACAAGCAGACCCACGCAGAGACCCTATACATAGGACCTACACATAAATAATGATCTATTCATTGGCGTTAGTGTTGTACTTTTAACTGTAACTTTAACTATAGTTCTAACTGTACGATTAATTAATGAATATTGTTATTATTGGTTATTCTATTAGTATCACTATTATTAATATGATTATTATTATTATTGCGGATGGAATGGACCGACTCTTACTGATATTCTCGATATTCGTGGTACGCGGATGGGATGGTGTACATTCACATTCATAGGAGTACGCGTAGATAGTATATGTATGTATATGGGTACGTGGACGCATAGCTGCAAGAAATTCTTTATCTCTATCCATCTTATCCACTGTATATGAGTATATTTTATGTATTGTATATGCCCCCTAGCCTAATATCATCTTTCAACTGCCTCCCCCAGCCCCCGCTGCCCGAGGACAGGCCAGGCACTGATCAGATCTGGGATCTGGATGTGTCTGTGTTCTGTGTCCTGTTCTTCGGCTAATTGTTTTTGTTGCTTATTTTATTAAGAAGAAGGAAAGAAATTTATTATTTCATAGTTATAGCTATTTCTACGAGTATATTTAGGTTATTTATTTAAGTTTTTCTCCTTACCCCGCTTACACCCCATCGAAAATCCTACCACGCTACACTTCCTAACTGAAGCTACAGTAAACAACCCCACCCCATCTGCACAAACTGGTGGTCTAAACTTTCTTGTAATTATTATTGCATAATTTTCGTATAATTTTACACAAAACTCACAGGAAAAATATAAAAAGAAAGAGCAAAGAGTAAATACATTTTCAGGGGTTTCCACACCCATGGGAACCCGCACTCCATGAGCAATCGCTTATGCAGTACTATCACACCAAAACCAACCACTAAAACTCTTTCGATCTGAAGTCTAATATGTTATTTATAAAGCGTAAACTTAAACGTAAAAGTAAAACGTAACTTCTGTATTCATGTAAACGTCACACTGCCACAAAACCGAGACAAACAGAATCAAGATTTTGACAAATAGTTTCAACAACTGTAAATGCAATAGCAACTGCAACAGCAACAGCAATCCTCAATGCAACACACCCCTTTACAATAATTTCAAACACTGCCCAAATGTGCAATCTCTTTTAAAAGCAAACATGAATAAGAGAGAATTGAAACCAACTCCTAGTTCTTTAATCTACATCTCTATATACTAGTTGCGTTCTCTAAGTACCTTTATCTATTATTATTATTATTATTATTAATATTCTTACGAGTATGTGTACGTGGAATGAAAATGAAATATGAAAAATCTACAATATATCATTTTGTTTATAATGAATGATTGGTTGATTGATTGAATGATTGGATGATGCAAATAAACAAAGTGAGTCTTGAGTTCAACTCTGTTCATTGTAAACATTTTTTATGATTATTTTTTTATTTTTAAATAAAATTATTATTTCAATTTCTGCATGCGTTTTATTTACACTTCACCAACCAACCTCAAACGCGAAACGAGAGAAAACAACCAAGAAAAAAACAAAGAAATAATGGAAGAGAGAGTATGGACAGAGTAGAACAGTAAGCAAATGATATGATACAAATATATGGAACCCGCTACAAATTTGGAATCTAGATATACCTCCCATGAAAAAAGTACATAAAGTTACATAAGTTATAGTATATATTCAAAGTCTATATAGGATAAACCATATTTACGAACAGATCGCATATTTTAGATAAAATCTGATTGGTGTACGAATATTTTGTAGTGGTAAGATGGACAATGAAAAAGAACACACACACGAAACGAAACGACACCACGTCACGAGGTCTCAGTTTATGAGGTTTCCCCACAGATCATGGATTTATAATTAAAACATGTCTATGTCTATTTATTAGATTAAGTCATCGCATCTACCATTACCTAGCGTACATCAGTTATTAGTTAGTTATTAGTGGATACATATTCCCATGTTATAAGGATGCTAAATGTTAAGCACACACCGATACAGAATCGAATCGAACAATATATGCAAAAGATTGACGACTCAAGTACAACGAAATCAGTAACGTAACCATGAATCTGAACCACTCACTCCCTGAAGGACGCAGCTTTAAACCCACTCCAAGATAGGACTTCCTCATTCAACATGAAACCATTCCTCAAGTTTTTCAATACAGCCCCGAAAATATTTCTACGAGTACATGCCTAGCACGATATAATTGTATATATATTTAAACAACTTCTGGACCTCATGTTTCCACTTGATTATTAACGTAAAGATATATTATACGAATATATATACCAATTATTTGTTGAATTGGATAAACCCGAATGCTGGATAAGACCAACTAAATTAATTATTAACGAAAATCGAAGCCTTTGTGCGCGATTTCTTAACTAGGCTAAGACCCAAAATACTTTATTGGTAAACCGAAGAAACGAATGAAAATTTCTACTTTTCAAACCGAACGAAGGATGATTTTGAGGAACAGAACGGGCACGGCACGGGACTAGAAAAATATGTTGAATGGTTTACAGTTAGGTGCAATTAAATTATTTTATAGATAACCAACCATAATTTAAGTGTTTTTCACGTTTATTTGACTTTTGGTTTGTGTATTGTACATTTAACGGACTCTTTTTGAAATGTCTGCGAAGAGAAATCAGCTAAAGCCAGCCACAATATATAATATACACGCATGTATTTATGTATATCTTGTAAGAGAATTAACGTTGGGATCCGTAATATGGTATGTAGGTGAATTTTAGAAGGATATAGGGAAAGGCAATGACGGTTTAGTCTTAATTTTATAAGGATGAACGAAAGAAAATCCAAAAACGCAAGCTAGCATAATTATTTACTGTTACGACATAAGAGTTTTAAGATTTTTAGCTAAATTTTGTATATTTTAATCTACAAACCATAACAAATATATATATATATATTATCTGTTTTATAAATAACAATAAAACGAAAAGTGTGTGTTTTGTATATGGTTTGGCAAGGCAAATATCGAACGGATAGAATGAGGGAATAGAACAGTATACAGTATACATACACCTGAAAACTGGTGTTAAATGATCAATTTATTTGCATTTAAATTTAAATTTAACAAGTTCAAGGTAAATTTAAGGTATATTGACGGTGTATAATGGTATATTTTATTTTTCAATCTATTTAATTCCATTTCTAAGGTTTGTTGAACATATATTCCTGAGCTGTGCATCAGCTGTTCTCGTGTTGCTGGATACGTAACATATAAGTAAAACGTAAAGCCTAGTACTCAGATCCAAAAACAGTTTGACAGCAAACAAATGTCATATATTCTTCGAGCGGACAGTGGTGTGACCAGAGGTGTGCACTGCATTCCGAACGGTTACACTGCTCAGACCGCTGCTTGGTTTTATTTAAAGTTAACAAAATGCACTTCTTCGGCTGGGGCCGCTCTTCCCCAGCCATATCCTGGGCTCCCCAATATTTTATTGGCAAGGCAATGTGTCTGACTATCAGCAGCAGCAGATGGCGACGCCTCACGTGCCGGACACCATGAAGAAAAAATGTTTTGAAATTATGATTTGTTTTATATTAATGAAAATTAATAAAAATAATAAATTATAATATCCATATAATTGTCATCATATAATACTGCATTAACTAGACTCTATTTTCTTCATTATTTATATATTTCATTTGGTTTTTGTTCTCTTATTGCAATGTTTGCTTCGTGTTTGCTGGCAAAAGATGTCAAAATGATATCTTTTTCGAGGTGGGTCGAAATATACCAAAAAAACAAGCAAATACTTCGGATACTTTTCCAGTATATACCTTTTTTTTTTGTTGATCTGTTGATCCGTACAGAGTTTTTGCCGTAAAAAATTTCTGATGATTCTGTTATTTTCTGTTTTTTTTTCGATCTGTGCTGTTAGGCGAGAAATAGATTTATTTAACTCTTTTACTATAAATTCGAAATTGGCATTTTTAGCCAAGTACAGAACCAAAAAGCTCATCATTCCGAAAGGAGGGTTGCCACAAGTTTTGCAGCCGTGACGTCACTATGAATCATATAACTTCTGGCTACATTGTTAATAAATTGGCAATTGTTGTGGAACAATCAATTCAAACGCGTCGTGACGAAATATTATGTTAAGTTTTCGAACTTATGTTATGTTAAGTTTTCGAACTGTTATGGACAAAAATCAAAAAATATCATGGTATGGCAGCCCGCAGCAACTACGAATTGCACGAGTCTGGCAACGCCACAAAACGACGTGACATTCGTTTTATGTTGTTTTTGTTTGAACCTTAATATGTAAATAATGTGCATTTCAGGGATATCGATGAAATAATTTGCATAGTAGTGAGGAAGGGGAAAGATTTCCAGACAGGGTGGCAGGGCCGAGGTTGAAGGGGTAGTGTTGAGCGGATAGTGGCGCCCTAGTCGGGCGATCTTAAAACTATAAGTACGATAACTGCGTTTCATTATTTCATTGATAGTTTCATTGTTTTTTCATTGATACAATAACTGCGTTTCATTATTTCATTGATAGTTTCATTGTTTTTTCATTGATACGATAACTGCGTTTCATTATTTCATTGATAGTTTCATTATTACATCGATACTATCATCATAGTCTCAAAACCATCGATAGTAGAGGCTAGCAGCAAAATATCGATAGTATCGATAGTGCCCTCTTTCGTTTGACACCTCTACGTGTGAGTGAATACATTTTTTTCTGCAAGTTTTTGTCATTGTCCAGATCCAATCAATGTCCAATCAAGTGCAGTAAACAAATCGTGATGGTGTTTGTGGCCAACGCGACGGTAATTGCAATACAAATAACAATGAATTGAAACTATGAAAGTTGCATAACACGTCGCTGTCGCGGTAGTGTCCCGCAGTCGCAATTTCCAGAAAACCACACCACACACACACACATACACGCGCGCGGACACGCACACGCACACAACAGCAGACAAGAGCAGCGCGGCGGAAAAAGTGTAAAAAAACTGTAGCCGCAACAGCTAATAGCAGTTAAATCGAATGTGCATTCCGCGACTCACATAGCCAATGTGCTGTGGCAGCCGCAGCGAGCGCTCCCCGTTCCCCAATCCGCCTCCCCGCCACCCACGCCATCACCATCAAAAACACCAACACTAACACTAACGCACTCGCCTTGTACCACACACAGCCGACAAAGAAAGAGCGCTCTGCTTCTTCGTACAGTTCCTACGACGGCAGCCAGCGCTTGAGTCAGCAGTCCGCATAGCAAGAGTGAGCGAAAGAGAAAGAGTGTGGAGAGGAGAGGAGAAATCCGGCAGCAATCAGAATCTGTGCGATCCAACTGCGGGAGCGCGCAATAAAGAGGCTTGCATGTGAAACTAAACAAAGGAAGGGGCAAAGCAATCAGCAACGGCAGCGGCGGCGGCGGCAATGAGTCTCATGGCCACGCCAATGCCCCCGGGCAGCTCCACGAGTGCAGGGTCCTCCGGCTCGGCCAGTGCAGTACCCGGCGCCAGCAGCAGCAGCAGCGGCAGCAGTACTAACAACAATCTGCCATTCGAGAAGGACAAGATCTGGTACTTCAGCAATGAACAGTTGACCAACTCGCCCAGTCGTCGAGGTGGCATCAAAGGCGACGACGAGCTCCAGTACAGGCAGATGACCGCCTACCTGATACAGGAGATGGGCCAGCGGCTGCAGGTGTCCCAGCTGTGCATAAATACGGCCATTGTGTATATGCATCGGTTCTATGCGTTCCATTCATTCACACACTTCCATCGCAACTCGATGGCATCGGCGAGCCTCTTTCTGGCAGCCAAGGTCGAGGAGCAGCCCCGCAAGCTGGAGCATGTGATACGAGCCGCCAACAAGTGCCTGCCACCGACCACCGAGCAAAACTACGCCGATCTCGCCCAGGAGCTCGTCTTCAACGAGAACGTGCTGCTGCAGACGCTCGGCTTTGATGTGGCCATCGATCATCCGCACACGCATGTGGTGCGCACGTGCCAGCTGGTCAAAGGTAGGCACCAATCTGCTCTAAAATATATCCCAAAATCCCAAATGATATGCACGTAGAGCGATTTGTGAATTGATTACTGTGATATATTTTAGCGTGCAAGGATCTGGCGCAGACCTCCTACTTTTTGGCCTCAAACAGGTATGGCTCTACACTCTGGTGACCCAATCCTTGACAAAATCTCTATCCCCAATCCCCAAACGCAATGGTATATGAGTCTGTTCGTGTGTGTGCGCGTGTGGCGGTGGTAGTGGTGTGGCATAGACGTGTCCATTCCTGCGCTGAGTGGGATGGCCTGGGGATCAAAAGGTAGAGTCAAACCGTGCGATGATTCGGCTACCTGCTTAGGTAATAGACTTCTATCTGCCCAGAACAAAACAAAAGAACTACGGACCGGACCCTACTTGTACACATTTTTGGCACACAAGGACACTCGT